CACTCTCTGGAGTTAAAAAGAAAAAAAAAAAGATCCTAAAAGTTCAGGCAAAGTAATTTCACAATTAAAGCACAAGAAAAAAGTGTTGGAGTTAAATTTTATGCTAAGTTATTATTTTAAAAAATACACAAAATAACACTTCTACTGATAATAACTACAATGCCGGAAAGATATGCCAAAGACATCCGTGAAAATATAACCCGCTATTGTCAAACAAAACACCGAGAAAGCAATGGAAGCTACGAAAAATAACACACACTAAAATTGTTAAAAGGAATGCAGAATTTAGGAGATATAGCTTGAAATAATTATAATGAAAAGAAGTATCAGTTGAGAATTAAATACTCAACTAGAATAAACACAAGAGGAAATATGCAGAATAAATGATGTCTTACAAGACTGAGAATGAAAATGAGCAAAATCAGAGAGCAATGAAGAAACAGTAATAATAAAAGAAAAGTCATTATTAAAGAAAGAGGAAAAGAAGATCCAACATATGTATTACAGGAATTCTTAAAAAAGGAAATTAAAGCAAAGAAGCAACAGATACTAAAACTTAAGCAAGAAAACTCTCCTGAAAAACTACACATTTAAAAAATATCTGAAAGAGTACATCATCTATCTGAAAATATTAATACAGAATGCCCAACACCAAGCCATATTCTAGTTAAAGAAAAAGAAATCATTTGTGGATCTAAGCCCCCAAACCCAGTAAACTATAATGAAGAAAAATAAATTGTCATGAAATTCTTAATGGAAAGACTTAGGCTGTGAAAACAAAGAACCGCAATTAAGACAACCAGGGAAAGGGAATGTGAACTCAGCATTACCATCCACTCAAATTTGCTTTCAAATATGAGGATCACAGACAAATGCTAATCAATGTACAAACACTCAGGAATATTTCTTCCAGAATTCCTCTCTGGAAAATCTATTGGATAGTGAGCATCAGATTACCAAAGGAATTAACACTTGTGCTGGTGTGAGCCTTAAATATATAGCTACCTGTAGCAGGGAGACCACATGAGAGGGAAATGGAAAGGAGAACATGCCAGCTATGGCTTTGACGAGGTTGATATAGTACAACTATAAAATGGATGGAAAATGGGGTGAGCATATGCCTAATCATAACAGCTGGGTTGAGCTGGTATTGCTATTTTGAAACTGTCATACATGTAGCGTGGACAAAAAGCAAATGAGTAATTATGAAAAAATTCTAGTTAGGTGTCTCAAAACCCAGAATACTTAATATGGAAGAAAGGAATTACACCTGTAAGATAAAAATGAAAGGATATTTTTATCATAAATTTGAATAGGTAAGGCCTAGAAAAAATAACTAACACAGTAGTAATGGACAGATGGTGGTTTTGAAATACTATTTCCCATGAAAAGAAACCAGAGTTCTTGGAACTATCTAGTTATACCAGATAGATATAAGGAAGCTAAGGCAGATGACGACAGTCAGATGAAAAAGTGCAAGATCCCACCAATCCCACTGGCCAATGACGAGAGGACAATTTGAAGTGATACTACAATTAATGAAAACCCATCAAATATGTTTAAATCCGTATGTTCAAAATACTGTTCAAAAAAGAATAATTGGTTACTGTGGTAGGCAGAATAATGACCCCTTAAGTATGTCCACATCCTAATTTCCAGAACCTGTAAATATGTTACCTTATATGACCAAAGGGACTTTATTGATGTGATGAAGTCAAGGACCTTGAGACAGTATTTTTCTGGGTTATCTGGGTGGACCTGATGTAATCACAAGCGTCTTCTAAAAGACAGACTGGAGGATCAGAGATGCAAAGACACAAGTGAGGACGGAGCCAGAGGCGAGAGAGGAGTGAACCTGTCACACTGCTGACCTTGAGAATGGAGGAGGGAGCCAGGAGCCAGGGAGTGCAGGAGGCACTGAGCCACTGGAAAAGACAGGGTGGATTCTCCCCAAAGCCTCCAAAGGAACCAGCCTTGGGGACCTGTTTTAGACTTCTCACCTCCAAAACTACAAACAAATAAGTTTGCATTATAGGTTTGTAGTTATTTACTATAACAGCAATGGGAAACTAATTGTCACCAGCTGGTTACCTTAAAAACGAATAAATGAAAAGTTAAGAATCAAAGATTTACCATGCCTTTCCTGTATGCACAGTACCACTGGTTATCTAATGAATAGATGCAAAGAAATGCCTGTTTGTAGTCATAAATTTAAAAAATGTTAAAATATTGTTTTCCGACTCCTAAAGAACTCCTAGGTACAGGTATCAAGCAACATTCACTGCAAGTATCACAAGAAAAAAAAAGAAGGAAAATACCACCACCATGAGTCTTACAGAAAAAAACAAACAAGGAAAAGCAAGGAAACAAACAAACCGTGAATCTGATGAGTTCTCTCTAAATACCAGCTTCACAGAAACCACAGGGAAAAGAGGGATATTAAACATTGCCATGGGATGCCATTAACATCAAATACCAGGATTCATCACAAAATTGTAAGGGAGGAAGGGATGAAAATAGAATGTTTAGAGATTAACAGCCATTTTAAAGCCAGAACTGACAAAACTAAAATGTACTGTTTAGAAATGCTTCCTTCAGTGATAAAACTCTAACTAAACACCAAGAAGATATTACTCTAAAAATAGAGAAGGTAATTAATATATTTAAGAGGGTTGGGAGTGTATGAGGGAGAGGCAGTGAAATTCCCTGTCTTGATTTGAGCAGTAGCCACAAGGGTATATGCTTTATAATAATTTATTAAACTATACTTTCGCTTTACGTAATTTTCTGTATCAGTCTATTATAATAATCAGAATGGTTAAGCAATGCAAAAGAGGCCAATTGCATCATTGTGGGAAGTGACAGATCCAGTTTACCTCTGGGAAATGCCTCCCAGTCCTTCCCTGACTTCCTTTCCTCAACACAGTCTTCTTGTTCCTTCCCATGAAAAACACTTGCTGTTCCTTCTGCTGAGAACATTTTCTTTAACTCTAAGGTTTTCCAGATAATTCTTGAATTCTGTGCTTGAACATCAACTCTTCAAAATGAATTTCTTTGTACTTTGTAGCTAAAATAAACTCCAACTGAGTTTTCTCATTCAACTTTATTTTTTATCATAACACTTATCATTCGCTGAAATTATTGGACCTATTTTCTTGCTAGCTGACCACTTTTCCCTGGAGAGAGTATCTAACACAGAGATTCATGGGACAGGGACCTCATGTGTCCTTATTGACCGTATCCCAATTGTCAAGAAGACACCTGAAACATGATGGGTGCTTAAAAAACATTTGTTGAATAAATGAAGGAATAGATGAATGAATGAATGAAAACCTACTAAAACTGTCTTCCAACTTTTCTCTCTACATCCAGGCCCATCAGCAAACCTAACCTCCATCTAACCACCAGCATGAGCTACCTAAAACTTGGGTGTGACTCCATGATTCCCTTGCTGAAAATCATCCTGTTGGCTTAGTGTGGCAATGGCTTCCCATAGTCAATATGACTATTCCCTGTGTCTCTGGTTTTTCTTACGCCTGAAAGCCAGTGCCAACCTGCCAACCTGCTGCTGACCTCACACTCCCGATATCATACAATCTTACTCCATGATTACGCCCATCACGTAATGCTCTTTGGTCATCCCCATTCTTGTTTTAAGGAGGTTCAACTCAGTTATTTCCTAATCTCTTCTAGGAAAATGCCTTCTAGGAATACAGTTGAGTTACAGGCAGCCTAGAATGTTTTGTAGATGTTTTAGTCACTGCACTCAGTCTCTGTGTAAGTATCTACCTTTCTGTTGTTTCTCCAACTAGATTCCATGTTCCTTATGGACAAGAGCTGCCCTGCATTCAATGCAGCCAGCTGGAGTTCTTGGTTTGAGATGTGTAGTTCCTGGTGTAGATGTTTGAGAATGAACTAAGGATCCGTGCTATAATAATGTGTTAGTTGGCCGAGGCTATCATAACAAAATACCACAGAGCAGCCAGTTTAAACAACAGAAATGTGTTTCCTCACAGTTTTGGAGGCTGGAAGTTTGAGGGTGCGAGCATGCTCAGGCTCTGGGGAGGGCTCTCTTCCTGGCTTGCCGGCAGCTGCCTCCTCCCTGTATCCTCACACGGTGGCGAGATGGAGCGAGCCCTTGGCGTCTGTTCTTATAAAGGCGCTAATCTCATCATGCCCCCATCAAACCCTAATCACCTCCCACAGGCTCCATTCCCAAATCCCACATCGGGTTTCAACATCTAAATTTCAGGGGGACAGATTCAGTCCATAACAAACAGTTACTTTAATTGAATAGCACACTGCAAATCAAGATCACACGCAGTACATTACTTAACTCCCAAAACAGCTCATGGCAGGTGTCACATTCCTCCGTTTAGAGGGAAAAAACTGAGTCTCAGAGAGAACAAACGGTTTGAACCATCAGAAGCAGCTCATACACAGTCAGAGCTCAAACTCATGGGTTTCTAATTCCAGACGTTTTCCATCCTCTGACCATAGCTGCAATCTCTGACCATTTACCTGAACCTTATTTTTAGTAATAACGCTGTTTCTGAAGAAGTTTGTAAAATAAAGCACAGGTTACATGCACATTTTAAGCAAAGCTAGAATCTACTGTTTTGTCAACCTAAGAGTGTTTGTA